TGGAAACATGGAGAGATAGTAGAAGAGAGGAAGACCTACAACCAGATGGATTGATAGAGTGACTTTAGTAATGGACTCAAGTGTGTTGAATATTTTGGAGATAGCACAGCATAGGACAAGGGTTCAGATCTGTTATTCATAGAGTTGCTATGAGTCTGCTTGACTGAATATCACTTAACAACAGCAATTATTGTATTAAATAGCCTTGACTGCAGTCCTTAACTGCTAGAGAAATTTCTTTTCTTTTCAATTATTTGCCATTAAATTTTTCTGTATTGTTATCATGTGTGCATTCATGGTTATGTGTATGTCTTTTACATGATTGACTTCTTACCAGAGTCTCAAAATAAAACACTTCACCACTTTCAACTTTAAGCAGCAGGCGTTCAAGCACAAGGTTACTGTGAGTCTTTAAATATTTTTAGTATTGACTCAGCAGGTAAACTAAATTGGCTTTTTCTACCTTTATTCATATCACTATTATTGCATTACATGTATTCATATGTGATTACATTGAATTATTACTATTTTTTAATCACTTACTGCATTGAAAGAAAGCCCTTGTGTACACAGATTATGCTAAATTTTCAACCTAAAGCTTGACAGTTACAAGACACACAGGAAGCATGACCTAGCAACCTGCTTTAGTAAAGATTATATCCAGAAAACCCACTAGAGCAAAGGGCTATTCTTTAACCAGGGCATTGGACCAGTTTATACTAGTTCAATCCCTTGCTGAGAATTGGTATTTCTACCCTACATATAATCAGAATCTATATTTTAATCAGATCCCAAGGTGACTGATTCTTAGATATACACATACATGTGATTTTTATTTGTATACTTGTACAATCACTATAGTGAGCTCTGGTAACTTAATGTTAAGTGGTTGTGTTGCCAACCCAAAGACACATGGTTTGAATTCACCAGCTGCTCCACAGCAGATTGATGGACAGTTTCCTTAATGTGTTTAACTGGCTTTGAAAACCTGTTGAAGGGTCAGCTATGAGTTGGTTCCAACTCAGTGGCACACAAGAACAAATGAATCATTATATGTGGGATGGAAATACAAATACTCAGCAGGTCATTGGGCCATACTAAGTTGATGTTAAACCTTAAAATACAAACATCTTTCAGATGTGCAGCAATGTTTCTGTAACATTTCGTTTTCTTTTATGTTAACTGATTTCCTAATGCATATAATTAATCTTTGAATCTCTAATAAGAAGCTTCATTGAATATATTTTGGAGGCTGGTTTTGCAACTTCTTAAGATATTGCCTTCATTTTAACTTAACTGGGACTTTTCTGGTTTCTGGCGAAATAGGGATACAATGATAGAAAATAGATTGGTGATTTTCTCTCTCTTTCTCCCCCCCCCCCCCATTAAACTTGATTTAATGGGTCTGAAAATACTGTGCCAAATTTTTGGTCACGTTGTTTCCACTTAAAAAGTACTGATTTAAAAAACTAATAACTTAAAACTGCCACACAAAAAAGAAAACAAATGGACCACAAAACATTCCTTTCTTTTTGAAGGTTTTATGATGCAGTGTTATCAGTAACAGTCTTTTCCTATTAAACTTAAATGGACATTTGAGACAAGCAGTCTGAGACCCGTTCTTCTGCCGCTGATTGAGACTGGGGTGGCAGGTGTTATGGGTAATATCATTGAGCCTTCTGAGCAGACTTGGTGACCTTGCCAGCTCCAGCCGCCAGTCCACTGCTTTGATGACACCCACAGCAACAGTCTGCTTCATGTCTCAGACAGCAAAATGAACCAGAGGACGGTAATCAGAGAACCTCTCCACATACATGGACTTTCCAGGAGCCATGTCAACAATGGCAGCATCACCAGACTTCAAGAATTTGGGGCCATCTTCCAGCTTCTTACCAGAATGGCGGTCCATCTTCTCTTCGAGCTCAGCAAACTTACAAGCAATGTGAGCTGTGTGACAATCCAGCACAGGTGCATAACCAGCACTGATTTGGCCAGGATGGTTTAAGATGATCGCCTGAGTAGTGAAGCCACCTGTTTCCATGGGTGGGTCATTTTTGCTGTCACCAGCCACATTGCCACGTTGACCATCTCTCACAGAGGCTTTCTTAACGTTGAAGCCAACATTGTCACCAGGCAGAGCTTCACTCAGAGCCTTATAGTGCATTTCAACAGACTTGACTTCAGTGATACTGTTGACTGGGGCAAATGTGACCACCATGCCAGACTTGAGAACACCAGTCTCCACTCTGCCCACAGGGATAGCACCAAACCACTAATCTTTTTTTTTAATTTTATTAATTTTAATGAACATTTACAGAGATTTTGGATTTCCATTCATTCATTGTTGCACTTTTCTCCCCCCCCACCCCACCCCCCCCCCACTCCTTAAAGCAAAAGAAAAACTCCTTCATTGGTACACAATCCCCCCCCCACCCCGAGTGTACACCACTCTGCAACCCTCATTCTGAACTCTTACGATAATCATAATGCCCTAAAATATATTACTTTTAAACTGTTCTCTTCCTAATCAGCTTCAATGCAGTATACATAATTTATCCAGTTTTTCTCAGTCTTACCCCCACCCTGATGTCAGTCTCACTCTACAACAGTGGTACCATACAGTATTTGTCCTTTTGTGACTGATATATTTCACTCAGCATAGTGTCCTCCAGGGTCACCCATTTTGAATAATATTGCATGAGTTCCTTGTTTTTCACTGCAGCATTGTGTGAATATACCACAGCTTCTCTATCCATTCGTTTGTTGATGGGCACTTAGGTTGTTTCTGACTCCTAGCTATTGTGAACAAAGCCACGATAAACATGGTTGTGCATATATCTGTTTGGATGTCAGTTATGGTCTCTTTGGGGTATATTCCCAGTAGTGGAATAGCTGTGTCAAACCACCAAGCTTACAGGCATCCTGGAGAGGAAGATGCAGGGTTTTATCAGTTGGATGAGTTGGTGGCAGGATGCAATCCAAAACTTCAAGCAGAGTGGTTCCACTGGCACTGCCATCCTTCTAGGTCACTTTCCATCCCTTGATCCAGGGCCTATTATTGCTTGGTTCCAGAATGTTGTCATCATTCCAACAAGAAATAGCCAATTTCCTTGATGTAGGTGCTAATTTCCTTAACGATTTCCTCATATCTCTTTTGGCTGTAGGGTCGTCAGTGGAATCCCTTTTGTTAACACCAACAATCAGTTGTTTCACACCCAGTGGGTAAGCCAGAAGGGCGGGTCAGCCCATTTTTTGAGATACCAGCCTCAAATTCACCAACACTAACAGCAACAATCAGGACAGCACAGTCAGCTTGTGATGTTCCTGTAATCATCTTTTTGATAAAGTCTCTGTGTCCTGGGGCATCAGTAATGGTCACATATACTTGCTGGTCTCAAATTTCCACATGGAGATATCAATGGTGATGCTAAGCTCATGTTCTGCTTTCAGTTTATCCAAGACCCAGGCATATTTCAAGGAGTCCTTCCCCATCTCCACAGCTTCCTTTTTGAATTTCTCGATGGTTCTCTATTGATCCCACCACATTTGTAGATCAGATGGCCAGTTGTGGTGGACTTGGCCTGCATCTATGTGTTCAGTGACAACGATGTTGATATGGGTCTTCTCCTTTCCCATTTTGGTTTAGGTTTTGCAGTGCTATTCACCAACACCTGTACTCTGGTGATAAACCCATTGCAGAAAAAAGCAGTGCTTTTTTTTAAAAAAAAAAAAGTCAACAGTAGTATAAAATATTCCTTAAAGGTAGATGTTTACATTTTCTGATCTTTTTTTTTGTGGCTTTGTTTAGTTTCCTATAGTTTCATTAAGAACAGAATTGTCTCACACTGAGGAGGCCACAGCACGTCCAGGCCTGGTTCCCAGGACAGGGCCAGACTCTGGCTGGCTGGGAGCCTGATGAATTGGCCAGGCTGCCACTGTGGTCACGGGCTGCAGGCATAGTGAAAGATATCATGGTTCAATTTTTGTGCATGTGAACAACATCGTGGAAGCGAAAATGGACGTATTTTTATGTAAAAGTTTTCTATTCTTTGATTTTTAATAAACTTTGGACCAAAAAAAGAACAAAATTGTGTCCTCACAATATTTGGCTATCCAGAATCAACATTGTAACTTTGAATGAAAAACTTCTTAATCACAGATCCATAATGGTCATTAGTGTAGTTGACTGGCCCATTGCTTGGCCTGAGATTCAAATGAGTGGTGAACATGAGGCTCTGGAAACTGTGAACAGTGCTTAGGCCTTTCATTCATAAGGTTGCTATGAGTCAGTAACAACAAAGACATAGAGAGAGCCACATTGGCCTAGTGGACAGAAAGTTATGCTACCAAGCTGAAGGTGGGTGATTATAATCTGCGGCCCTCAGGCCTGGTTCAAACTGTTTTTCTGTCCAACATTGTTCTAGGTGGTATAGCACTGGTCTGTGCATTGCTGTCCAGAAGTAGCTCGTCTCTGCTGTGATGCTGAACACTGTGACACTAATGTGCCAAACGTGGTAATGATTACCCATGGTGGACCGTGTTTGCTGGCACTTCCTGATTAAAACAAGCCTGGAAACAGGAGTGGCATCCACTTCCGAAATGGCTTGCCTCGGGAAACCCTATGAGCAGTGCTCAGCTCCTTTGTTTTCATAGGGTCGCCATGAGTCATCTATGACTCGATGGCACTTAACAACAATTTGCAATAAAATCAGTAGGTCATTCTCAAGTGCCAGATTTTTCTTAGAGGAAATTCTATTCCAGTCTCACCAGTATTTATGTCAACAGTACTGAAGAAAACATGAAACAGATTTCATCTTGAACAAAAAGGAAAACTGTTTTTAGAGAGAGGTATCACTTTGATAAAATAGCCATTTAAGGTAATTAATTTTGTATTCTTTTCTCTGTTACCGTTTTATATATTGTATGGGTTCTTTTTTTAAAAAAAACTTCTTCCTGACTGACCTGCTGATGTTGTTGGTTCTTATTTTTTTCTTCTGCAGGAGTGACAACTGTGCTGACAATGACAACCCTAAGCATCAGTGCTCGGAATTCTCTCCCCAAAGTGGCTTATGCGACAGCCATGGACTGGTTCATCGCTGTCTGCTATGCATTTGTGTTCTCTGCACTAATTGAATTTGCAACTGTTAATTACTTCACCAAAAGAGGATGGGCTTGGGATGGGAAGAGTGTAGTAAATGACAAGGTAAGTGAGAAGGCCCTTAGCACAACTTAGGGTCCCCTAACTCAATCAGCTTGTGACAAGCTTTTGCAAGTTGACATTAATAGCATTCACATTTCAGAATATTAAAAGCAATTAGAATCATACATGTTTCTTTCAAAATGTGCCCTTGTTCTTGCCTTGAAATCCTTTAGGAGAGTTTATAGCAGTAAATATTTCTGTTCAAACATCTCCCTAGCATCTCTTGAGTCTGTGTGTCAGACACCAGACTAAGCGGCTGTTTTGTTTTTTTAGTATGCTTTGTAATGTAATCTTCAAAGTAAACTAATAACTATACAGTCTTGTTAATTCCTGTTTTTTCCAAGGAGGAAGTTGAGGCTTACTAAGGTTAGCACCTTGCTCAGGCTCACAAAACTTGTTAATAAATAGACTAGAACCCAGATTCAGAGCATATGTGAACATAAAGCAATGTGGCTAATTCTTTATACTTTGACACAACACAATGCATTATAATAGACTGGACTCGAGAGTGGACATTTTCAGGCCCTGTCAGTGTTAGAGGGAGCTCTGGTGAAATCTAGAAAGTAAGGAGTTACCCAGAAATTCATAGACAAGCAATTCTTTTCTACGAGCTTCTGTGTGGGAGAAAGATGAGCAGTCTCCTCCTGTGCAGTTGACGGCCTCTGTAAAGTCCCTGGAAGGTCAGCTCCACATAATTGAGAGATCAGTACAATTGAATATGCGTTATATCTCCTTATGTTGAATGTTCTGATGTAAAAGTCCAGACAACACACCTTTCCAAGCATTGATGTCCATCTCCAAAGAACAGACATTTTTAGCAATATTCCCAAAGTATGTGAGATGAAGTTTTGCTATCCTTGCTCCCAAGGAGCACTCTGGCTACATCTTCTTCAAAAATCATGTTTTCTTTGCTCTTTTGGCAGGTCATGGGATATTCAGTACTCTTCTCCAACACCACAACTCAAAGAAATTGATTCTTCTCTTATCCTTATGCTTTGTCCAACTCTGAGATGCATAGCCAGTAATTGAAAAGACTATGGCCTGACTCAGGCAGACCTTAGTCTTCAGACTAACATCATTGATCCTCAGTAATTTGAAGAGGTCCACAACAAAGGACTTGCCAGTTCAATACATCTCCTGATCTCCTATCTGCTTGTACCACAGGTGCAATTTTAATTTTGGAGCTAAGTAAAATGAAATAATTCACAATATCAGTCTTTTCTTTAAAGCTGTTGTTGTAAACCAACTTAGCTGACCTTCCCATGGGTTTTCAGAGGCAGATAATCACACAGGAGATTTCCCATCTTTCTCCCACAGAGCAGCTGGTGGATTCAAACCGCATGCCTTCAGGATTGCAGCACAGCTTCTTACCAGTCGGCCACCAGTACGCCCTAGTTAATTAATTACTAACATAATTTCACATAGGCCAGCCACTTAGAAATATCCCTATATCTATCTCACTGGTCATCAAATCTTACCTAGATGCACTCATCATTTTAATAATCTCTTTACTGCTTCCTGGCTTTATCCTTGACATCCTCTGTATTACTACTAGAATTATATTTTCTAAAATATAAACCTCATCATTTAACTCTTTAGCTCTCTAGTGGCTTTTTCTTTTTCTTTTCTAAACAGCTTTATTGACCAGATTAAAAATCAGTTTGAATACAGTCTCTGTCCACAGCATTTCAGTTACAGCTCCATATCATCTTGTCCGCTGTGCCATTGGGAACAGCAAATTTATCCCTCCTCTTTCCTTCTGCTGCTCTTGCACTGGGGCCTAAAAGGAAAAGGAAAGGGGATGCAGCCAGAAGTGCCTCTAGAGATGGGTGGAATGGACAGGTCAAGGCTGTTGGTTGAGAGGAAGGTCCTGAACATGGGGAACTGAGGGAAGGGGTATTCCTATAAAGATGAGACTGTGGCTGAGGCCAAGCTCGTCTTGATTGTCAGGCCGGCATGGCAGGAACAGAGCACTAATCAGGGATGTGCTGGGACAGAGCTGGGCTGCTGGCCACAGTGTTAGGGACTGATCCATCTGCCCTAAAGTTAGGGCCTCTGATAAAGATGAATATGTGTTGGAAGTGTTTCATTAGGAACTCTGAGTGAAACTAGATTTCTTTGGGGTGTAGGTGACATTATGACTTTGGGGACCTCCTCCAGACGTAGGTTGTCTCCTCCAGTTCCACAGCAGGGCAACACTAGTTCCACGCAGATTCAAAGACAAGGGGCCTGGAGAAGCAGATAGCTCCTATGGGCCTCAACCTTCTCTGAACTTTTTAAAGGGTCTTAAGGAACTAGTAAAAATAGTTTATATATCTTTCTCATATTCTTGTTATACAATAAATATTAAAATAATTTTTTCTTGCTTATCAATGTATTTAACATATGTTAACGTACTCTGCTTAGCTCTAAGTCATTTGCTCCTACCAAATACCCTTAAACATGCTTAGAAATACACTGATTTCAGAAGTAAGGAAAAAATGGATTTATCTAATGAATTTACTTACCTAGGATCACCTATCTAAATATACTGACAGACCCAAGCAAGATTCAAAGATTCCCCTAGGTATTTCAAGCCACACAGTTTTCTGATATGCCCAAGCCTTTCATGAATCTGTGGCATTTTACATACTGAACTCTCTCACTAGAATTAGCTCTCCTTCCTCCCTTAACTCATGAATCCTACCTGTTCTTTTAGAACTGCTTGAATTAACTTAATCGTAAAATATTTTAGACTAATCTCAGATCTGAAATATAGTATATAGCACCATCAGTCAGGAAATTAAAAAAGACGAGTTGCATTGGGAAAGTCTACTGTCAGGAACCTTCCTAGAGTACTAAACAGCAACGATGTCACTCTAGAAACTAAGGTGTGCCTGATTCATACCTTTGTTTTTACACTTGGTATGCATCAGAGAGCTGTAAGAGGACTGAGGATGACAGAAGAAGAATCAATGACTTTACATTGTAGTGCTGGAGAAGAGTATTGAGCATACCACCGACTGCATAGAGAACAAACAGGTCTGACATGGAGAGGGTGAAACCAGGTTGCTCATTGGAGGCAAGAATTTTGGAACTCTATTTCACATACTTTGGGCTTGTTGCCAGGAGGGGCAAGTCTGTAGAGAATAACAACATGCTTGTGGAGGATAGATCCAGGAGAGAAGGACCCTGGATGAGTTAGATTAACATAGTAACTATGTCGATGAGGGCAGGTGTGTCAGAGACAGTAAGATTGGCTCATGATAGGGCAGGATGCAGGGCTGTTGTACATAGGGTGGCTATGACTTGCTGGCACATAACAACAGTTGCTTACTACATTATGTTTTCACAGCACTTAGCCAAAAATTATGTGACATCACTAATTTAAACTGTATTCTTTTTAGAATAAGTTTTTGACATTAGGCCATTTGCTATATATATATAATTTTGTCAGCTCACCATTATATACCATGTCATTCAGTGTGCCTTTTGGAATACAGTTTACTTGAATTAAATGTAAAAATTTAATTACTTTTAATTCCTTAATACTGCTTCTATTTCTAAGTCTAAATAAAACATATTCTCTCAAAAAAGAACACTAGTTAGTAAATTGCCTAAAATACACGTAGGAACATAGCATCTAAACGACATGGACTGTGTTATTGTCTTGCGTTTTACTCTGATGCAAATCATATAGAAACCCACACTTCATATCTATTTATTTGCATTTTCAAGTTCCTGCCTAGTTTCAAAAGTATTTCAGACCTATGAATGCATATATTTAAAGGATAATAAAAGAAATTAGATTAAAGGAGAGAAAACTTGCACAGTAATTGTGTCCTATACTTGTAGTACTTGTGCCTCATTCGTTGCTTCTTGGCAGTCAGAGTAAAACATGGGGAAACAAATAAAAAACAACCCAAAACAACAATCCTGGTTCTTTTCCTTTCGTCAAGAAATAGCAGCATCTCAAAGAAAAACTTTTCCTCATACAGAATTCTTCTTCATCGTATATGCTGGTATATGTATGCTCATACCCAGAATACCTGTGTGAATGTGTGTGTACATATAAACTATATCTCAGAGGGGTTTTAAATAGAGAACAGAATGTGGAAACTACAGAACAATCTCACTGATTTCACATGCAAGCAAGATTTTACTGAAGATTATCCAAACACGACTGGAACAGCACATCAACAGAGAACTACCAGAAGTCCAGGCT